CAAGCACAGCGAGGGGAGATACTTCCCCAGCAGAGGTTTATCGCCCAGCCCTGTCCCTGTCTCCCCTGCCATGCCATCTCCCTCCTGTCTCCTCCAACTGATCCTTCCACCACTAACGACTCATCCATCGCAAGAGCAGAATTCACAGCGGTGAAGCTGATGCACAAGGCGTGGGTCTGATGGCAGCCGCAGCTTTTCCAGGGCCAGTCCCTGCCTGTCTCCCCTGCCGAAATGACAGTTCCCCTGTTCCTCTGGAGCTGCTTGGAAAGTGACAGCTGAGAAGGACAAAGACACCTGACCCTCAGCTGCAGGGTCGCATGTGGTTGTCTCAGCATGCAAAGGATCCAAGGTCAATGCCCCAAATACCAATGCCCAAAGGGAAGGACGAAAGGACAGCAAAATCCATGCTGACTTAGAAGCAGCGTGAAAGCAAACTATGCACCCTGCTTGGATGGGAGCAGCACAGTTGCAAAGCCCAGGACCTGTGCAGCCTCCCAAAGGCTGGGGGGAAAGGAAACACTTTGCTTATTAAGGCTGGACCTCATTCCCTGAAACTGGGATCTGGGTTTTCTCTAGCTGTGGGCAGATTGAAATCGCAAGCACTTTCTATCCCAACGGCAGTGCAGGAGAGTCTTTTCAGCTCTTCAGTTACACAATTGACCGGGTGCTTTTTTCCACCTTCTTCCAAAGCATCTGGAATGGATCATCGCCAAAAGCAAGGTACTGGGCCTTCAGGTCTGCTCAACCAGAGGAAAACCTGCATTCCTGGGAAATAATGTTCATCAAATGCCTGTGATGCAGCACCAAAGTATGTATGATACGGATGGCGTCTGTGATTTATTCTTCATGCTCCGTCTTTCCCTCACTCTGTTGCACCCTTTCATGCTCTTTTGCAGTGAATCAACCTACACATAAGATGGATTTGAATAAAAGTGTCTGGACCCTGCCTGCCTCCCCAGTGGCACTGGGAGCTCCCTGCTGAGCAGGCCAGCAGCCCCCCAGGAGGGAGCCAGCCAGCTCGGCCCAGGCCCTGGGGCTCCGCAGGGATGGTGGAAAAACACCGCGTGGAGACGGTACCTCCTGCACGGCATCTCCTGGAAGCCTCGAGAGAAATGGCACTGCCAAGCCCTCTGAGATGCTTCTGCCTGGGATGTGGAGGGATCTAACCAGCCTTTCCCACATCCCTCCTTTGCCTGGAATATTCTTCCCTCTTTTTTTTTTCCCTTTAATTTTTTTCTCTTTTCATTTGTGCTGATTCCCGGCTTTGAAAGCGCGTGGGTTTTTAGCCTGTTTAAATTGCCAAGCACTTGATTCGTGGTTACTATTTTTATGCCGGCAGCGCAGGGCTTGGGCCCAGCAGTGCCAGATGCTGCACCTCCACGTGCTAACACATGCCCCGCTGAAGCTCCTGTCTGAATAAACAAGGAAGATGGATGGCGCGAGCGGGGAGATTCGCTGACACAGCCTGGCTGCCGCGGTGGCATACCACCTAGCCGAGCAGCTCCCTATCACTTAATGCGGTGTGAGGCGGTTGCAACAATTACCTTATTCATTTTTTCCCAATTTATACGAGCCATTTCAACCAGCCCTTTTTCCCCCCACACTGGAGGATGCATATTCTGGTGACTGAAACCCAGCTGGCCATTTTCCTGGATCACATCCATTGCCTTCGTATGGCATGGTTGGGCACTGGTGTCTTCTTTTTTCTTGTCAGCATCTTAAAACTTTGTCGGGTGTTCCTGCAAGTCACGGACCCAGGCAAACCTCCCTTCTCTCACTGCTGGCATTGCTTTCTGTGGAGCCCCACGGCCCAAGCACAGGCTGAACAGCGTCTGTACGGGTTTTCCTCTCCCATCACGTGCTCTTAGTAGATTGCATTGCCCATGTCCTCCCTTGCCATGACTCTTACAAGACTAAAATGAGACTGATGCAAGTACGAGGGTGCCTGTGCCCTCAAGGGTGATCCACCAGCACCTTACTTTGCTCTTTCTGCTTGCAAAGATGAAACCAGCTGGAGATTCTTGTCAAGGCGAAGCAATGGGAGTCGCTGTGTTCTCCAGGCACCGGGTGAGGAGCAGGGACAGCAGTCCCCAAACCCTGCGCCTGGCTCTCTTGAGCCTCAAATCCAATTAGTCATTTTTTATTTTCCCCTCATATGTTTTTCCAATGTAATTTGGAGCATGAGTTGTTAAGTTTCCCCAACAAGTGTTGCTATAGGAGCCTGTATTTGTTTAGGGTGGGGTACGGGCTCCGGCAGATTGAGAGGAGGGGGCAATTAGCCCTAATAAGTATAGAGAGAAACTGAGAGCCTCTCCTTCCTCATCCTGTCCCTGACTCTGTCCTCCCCCCACCTTTCACACAAGATCTGGAAATCATTTCAGACCTGTGCAGCCGGGATGGGCAAACCTCCCCATAATTGTATGGAAACTACCGAAGCAGCGGGTGTTGTTTTGCCAGTGAGTCATGACATATGGAGCAAAGCTCAAGGAAAAACTCCACTGCGTGGAAGGCTGCAAAAGCAAATCACACCCAGAAGAGCTCTTCTCTGCCAGTGACTCTGGCCAGTCCCCTGCCTGCATCCCTGCACCAGGCAGTCCCAGCATCCCTGTCCTGGATCTCCTGGTTCTCAAAGCTGCTTCATGGCTCAGAGACTTTCTTTGATCACCATCATTTAAGACCTACTGATGCTTTTCAATGGAAAAGGAGTGTTAACCTTGGTGAAATTGCACCCTGGTCTCCTCTGGACATGGTTTGCGACAGCAATGACAGAAGCCAAATCCCTTCTTGGTTTTGAGTGAGCTACCTAACCCAGCTGTGCCTCAGTTTCCCACCTGTAGAAAGGTGTGCTTGGTCGTCTTCTCTTGTGAGATCTTCCAGGAAAATGTGATCTTTCTGTGGCTGCCTGGATTTGGCCCAGGAACTGTGGTACTGATAGCACAGTCAGACTGGGTGGTTTGTCATAATCTGTTGCTACTTCCTAAAGTGACATTAGCCTGCATTAAGCCCATTTCTGTTCCTTGTGAGTCATGATGACAAAAAGCTACATCAGTTCCCTGGTTTTGGTATGGCTTTTTCCTGTGATTTATTGGCATTACCACCAGTCCCGCATGTTGGCTTTGGTGCCGTGGATGCAGGGCTATTGCAGAGTGGTGACATTTTTCAGCTGGCTGTCATTTGTTTTAGGGGTGCTATGGGCAAGTGTCCATCAAAGGCTTGGTCCAGGTATTTGCTGAAGCCCAGTTGTCGTTTGGGGCCACCAGATCCAGTGAAGCAGGTCAGCTGCTTCCATGAGCAAAGGGGTGGCCAGGTTTTCACCAAGAGCCCTTTCTGATGACAGCAGTCCTCCTGGAGGTTGGCCATGGTTGCTGGGCCAGTAGCTACCATCACAGAGCCTGGAGCGGGAAAAGCACTTCATTACTAATCACTCAGTTAATGAATGGCCTCTCCATTGTTAGCACATTCGGCTGTTGCTTGGCAGTGCTGATGTGTATCTGTGATAAATAAACCTTGGCTGCAGATTGTTCCTGACAGTTCATTGCAAGTGCTTCAGATGCATGTTGTTTGGTTGCACCAGTCGCACAGCATTGTTTCTCAGCCCTAGTTGGCTGCTTCCCAGCCCCAGTTGCTTGTTTCTCTTCTCTGATCAGATGACTCATGTAGCTAAACAACAATAAAATGGATTTTTGAATGGCTGCATGTGCCATTTAACATTTCTGGACGGAGAGCTGTTCTGCTGCAATAGCTTTCTGTTTCCATATTAGAGCTGAAAGTAAAGAAGACTTGTTAGTGATAGAGCATTTATCCGAGCTGCACCAAGGCAAGCTGGGATCTGCAAATCCCTGGTTGTCTAGGCAGACCTGACAGTGACTCACAGGAGAGCGGCAAAGGGCACTGGGCTGTGCCTTGCAAAGAACAGCCACCATTATTTTGGCAATGCAAAATCCCCCACCACTCAACGATGCAATTTCCTTACAGATGGTGAGATTTGGGCCACAAAGAAGAGAAATGAGGAGGAAGATGGCCAAAACTGAAGCTGGAAGGTGGCCAGGTTGCCACTATTTCTGGTTATCAGTAGGCTGGTGCCCTCTCTGCTCAATCAAGAGTTGGATTTTGCCTGCAGGGAGCTAGTGCTTAATGAAGATCCCTTCTGTTTGTCCCAGCTGGCCACCAGATAAGTAGCCTTGTAGTCCAACCCAGCAAGGTTTGGTGGAGTCATGTACTAGAGCTTCCAGTGGAGAGTCTAGAGGAATTTGGGGACATTTTCCTCAGGGTCAGAGCCAGAGCAAGAGCATTCTGAAAAAGGCATAGTCCTTGCAACAAAGGCTTGCCAGTCCTTGGCTTGCCTTGAGTGCAAGTACTTCTGGGAGACTCCTGACCTTGCTGAACCTTTCTCATAGTCCAAGGGAGACAAAGCACCTACCTCCCTGAGATTGATCCTCTAGCAGGATGCTCTACCAATCCTCATAACAGCCTCTCTGTACTTAGCTGCCCAAGACAGGTCACCAAGCTCAACTTCAGAGTCAAGCTCTTTTGGAGGAGGGATGTTGGAGAGAAGAGCTGGGTCAGCTTCTTACAGAGCCCTGCCCCAGCTGTGAACATGCAGAGAGCTGGATTACAGTGAGGTGGTGAACTGACTGCTAGGTGGGTGGCAATGGACTCTATGGAGAAGCACTGAGTGAGATGAGAATGGGGACTTGTGGCTTTCAGGTTGGAGCCCTCTCTAGCGATGCGGATTTGCTTTCTTGCTTCCTGACACAATTCCCTGATCCTTGAGATACAACTGCTGCCCTCCGAGCACCCAGTTCTCCATACACACCATCCAGAATACCAGTCTTCTGGTGCTCTTTGGCTTTGAAGAGGGGGTTGTGTATGGTGGAACTGGGCCTTAGCCCTTATCAGAGGTGCACAGGGGCCTTGCTGAGGACCTGGGACCTCTGCTTTTGGGGGCAACTTTATGCTTTTGAAAAACCCTTTTAGCAAAGACTGGTTTTTCTGCCTAGCCCTTCCAAGCAGACGGCTGGTGCGACACCATCAACAACCGGGCATACTGCCAGTATGACGGGGGTGACTGCTGCTCTTCCACACTGTCCTCCAGGAAGGTAAGTGAGCATCTTCTGTGGTGCTGGCCAGGATTTAGGATTAAGTGGTGATTGCTAGCCATGCTCTTTGGCTTTACTGGCCATGGAACCGAGCCTGCAATGCAATTCTCCCATGAACAGAGAACAAACCCATGATTTTAAACCAAAGCCAGCTGAAGCTGATAGACATCATCCCACTGATTAACAGCGCGGTTTGGACTCAGGCCAGCAGGACTGAAAGCTCAGCCCAGCTCCCACTGAGGTTCACGGGATTCCCTCTCTTTTTGGGAAACAAGTCCCAAAGGAATGACTTCCATAGGATGTAGTGCTAGCCACGGTGAGTCAGAAGTCACCTTGTCATATAATTGAGCAGTCTCAGGGGATTTTTGGTATGGTCCATTGGCGTCCGCTATAGGCTGTCTTTCCCTCCCAATTCTCCTGGGGAGGGAAGGAGGGAGGAATAGCGTGGAGGGAGCAACTTGGCATTGGGGTTGCACAGACCCTTCTTTGTCTCCCATCACAACCTCCCCTCCCACCTAACTTGCTATCCAGCACTCACAGCCCATCCTTTCTAAGCATATCCAACAGCAAAACAAATCATAGGGCATGAGATAATTTCTCACTGCAAAAATATGTGAATTTGGATCTTCTCATCTTTGTTGTGGAGCTTGAGTCATTTTTCCTTTCATCACACACATACACACAGGGAAAAGGAAAAATAAAATCCTGGGAAGATCTAGTTAAGATAGGAGAGAAAAGGCTTTACACGCAAGTGACGAGTGAAACCTCCACAGTGGTATCATGACATCTCGGAGCAAGGCACAGCTCTCAGGAGGTCTGAGACATCTGGATCTCGGGCCAAACTAAAGGACGAGTTCGCAGTGGAAGGTGGGGGGATTCAGTCCCATGGCTCTCAGGAGGTCCAGCCCCAGCTTGCATACCCCACAGGTCCCAGATCTCCTGTCGCACAAGCCTCCAGCACGTCTCTGTTAAGGCAGATGCAGGAATATGGGGTTTAAACACCAAAAAAACCACTCCAGCCTCTCACTGGCACAGGCTGTGAAAAATCAAATGTGCTTCCACAGAAAGAAAAACTCCTGGCTCTGAGCCTGGTGTGTATAAAACCTCTGGAGGAAACTTTTCTCAGCTCCCATGGCCCATGACTGGGCAACTGTCAACCAGGAGCCAGATGCTCTGCTGGTGCCCTCCCACCTTGCTCTGCTGCCACCAGCTAAGGTGACATAAGCTTGCTAGGCCACATACAGTTGTTATAGAGAAAGTAATGTGCAATGAGCCTCTCTACCTACATGGGATGTCTCAAAGCAGCACAGCTTGTGTGTGGCCCCAGACAGACCCACTGCCTGCCCCACTGAAGGCCATTCCTGCTTACACAGCCTCCAGCCTGCCTGGGTTTTCTTAATCCATAGTGCACAAGAACTGTATGAATCTACCCTGGCTCCTATATCAGGTAGTGTGGAGGCCAGCCTTTGCAGCTGGGAGCTTGGCTGAGTTCCTCCAAGAGGTGCAGAAGATGAGGTGTGTGCAGAAGGTGTATGCTACCTTCATGCTTTGCTGAGCCTGGAAGAGCCAGGAGTAGCTTGAAGGACAGGTCTGTGGGCTCAAACATGGACAAGGGGAGCTTTCTAACAGAGGCCAAAGTAAAACTGAAATCTAGAGGTGCCTCACCACTGCCAGCCCTAGCCCAAATGTCTCACACCCACCAGGGGAGACTTCTCCCTAGGGTTTGACATTTGGGGCACAAGACTCAAGCTGACGCTTGGCTGCAAAATTTGAAACGCAAGTTAACAAAAAGGAAAACACTAAGAACAGAACTCAGCCAGGGACAGCTTGTATCACAGCCCATTTCTTGTGAGCGCGGAGCCTGGCAGTCTCTACAATGCCAACAACATCAGGGCACAGCCCAAAGTGTCTGTCTGTCTGTACCTGGGTGGAGAGGGCTTGCAGAGGCGTAGGGGTGCCAGGAGCTAGGGATCTCAAAGCAGAGGCTTACATCTCCCTTTGGTCCCCCCAGGTGATCCCATTTGCTGCTGACTGTGACCAGGACGAATGCACGTGCCGTGACCCGGCAGCCGAGGAGAACCAGTAGCGGCACCACGAAGGGCCTCTCTCGGTCAGGCGAGCGCCGGAGGAGCGAAGGGGCAGCAAGGGGGGCCGCTGCGGAACAGTGGGGTGCGAGGGGGCAGGAGGCATAAGGAAGAGCCAGGCAGGGGGATGGTGACCGCACACGGAGGCGATGGGTCAAGGCCACCGAGCAGCCAGCGGGCTGCGGCACGGGAGGGCAGGCGCATGGCGGTCCCCTCCCCATCGCTGCTCCCTCCCGAACCCAGCCAGGACACGGGGGCCCAGTGCACACTCAAGGGGCTCAGCCGAGGGTCTGGCACCACCTTGGCCATGCGCTGGGCTGGGCTGCACGCCAAGAGCCTAGGTGCTGCCACGGATATTTGTCCTGGTCCAGCATCTGGGTGTCTGTCTTTGCTCTGGGTTTTGTCACTGTTCACCCCCCTCTGCTGTACAGGCTTCTTTTAGCAAGGTCGAGGTAGTTGTGATCTCTCTGCAAATATTTAAACTTAATTATATATATATATACATATATATAATATATATATAAATATATATTATATTTTCTTTGCTCTTGATGAAGCTGAGAAAGGATATCCTTTGTCACACACCCATGCTGCTGTGAAGTACAACCATTGGTAAAAGCGCAGGTTGGGGTGGGAGGAGCAGGGAATTCCCTCTTCCTTGCTGAGAGGGAGCTGGAAGGAGGACAGAGAAGCCAAACACCCAGGCCACGCCAGGAGAGAGCTCCCCAGGCAGGCAGCATGGAGGCTGCAACTTCGATGTTCTCTTGGCATCTTGCAGGCACGAAGTTTTGCCCTTGGGATTTGCCAGTGCTTTGCTTTGCTCTGCTTAGGACCCTGCGTCGGGATTTTGAGGTCGAGAAGAAATGCTGCTGTGCCCTTGCATCACTCCAGCAAGCATGGCAGATTTGGTGAACGCTGCTGCCCCAAAGGGCACCGCAGATGCCTGTCACCCATTATTTCAGGGCCCTGTGGGAAGGATTACGTGTCCATGGGGATCACTGCATGGTCAGTAGGAGCAAGGACATGCAACAGTCCCTCTCTGCCCCGCTCCCCCTGGCCACTGTGCACCCAACTAGACGAGAGACTTAGTGTGCAACTCAGAGTAGCTGTGTGATGGTCTGACTGAAGGACGATGAAGCGGTCCTGCTTTTCTTTCCCACATCTCATTTCCAAACATGAGCTTCGACAGTGTTGTCAGCAGTTCTCAGAGGAGATCAGACCCTGTAATGCAAGGAGAGACAGGACCCAAATGACCTGTCAGGAGACTTTGAGCATCATCTTTTCCCATTGAGATTTTCCTTATTACTATGTCTATGGCCAAGCCTTTCATGGTGGATATACAGTCGCTGACTTTCATGAGTCTCTTTCTCCTGTAGGCACTAAGTGAAAATCTTCAGATCCACTTCTAGCCCCAAAGAAGCCCAGCTAGAAACTTTGCCCCCCCTTAGTTGATTCCCAGAAGCTCAGCTTGGCAGCCTGGACCCAGTCCCATAGAGGCAGCAGGTAGGGAAGGTGCCTGGCTCCAGCTGGGGTTATCCCCGATGGTTTTGTGCTGCAAAGAAGCAGAGAAAAGGGATAGAAAGAGGAGAGCAGAGAAGGGACCACAGAGTAGAAGCATGGACCCCCGTGTCCACGGGTCCAGCTGCAGGTTGGGACCAAGAGACCCAAGGCTGCCCCGCTGCATCCTCCCCCCATGGCCTGTGCTGGTGGAGGCAAGCTCCAAGCCAGGGTTTGTCCAGTGTGGGAGTGATGGAGAGAGGGTGACACGGTGTGGAGAGACCGGGGATTTTCAAGGCATCCTTTGGCTTTCGCTAGCTTCCCCCCCACCACCACTTTTTTTTGTCAGGCATCTCCTAAAGTTATGTTTTGCTGGAGGACAGGAGTAGGGGCAGAGGTAGGGGCCTGGACATCCCACCAGCGTCCAGATGGGAGCTGCCTTGTCCTTCTCCAGGCCCTTTCCTGATCCCAAGTGTCCCCATCACTCCACGGTGGGTCACCTCCTGCCTGCCCTGGTCTAGGAGAGGATGTGGGGTGGGGGGACTGGGCGATGGGCCCCATCTCCTCTTGCAGCAGGGCCTCACTGACATTTCTGTTCCCGTCACGCACAGGTGACAACATCCCGGGGTTATCACTCAAATGCATTGTCAGTTTGGCAGAGCGCTGCAATTTTTTGACAGAGATCTACTTTTCAATTAAAAAAACCCCCCTCAAACAACCCAAGGAAATTTTAAGAAGGCCCTTTGAGACTCTTCTAGCCACAACAACATCCCCAGGCTGTGCAGCTCGGGCAGCCCGTCCTGCTCCACCAGCACAGGGAAGGGGAGATCCAGGGATCCCAGCACAGCAGGAGCAGGGGGCACAGCAGCCCCCAGATGGTGGGGACATGGGATGAGGGTGACACGCAGAGGGAGAATTTCAAGTCCCAGCATCTTGCCATGCCAAACCCTTTCCTGCCTGGTGTCAGCATTACCTGGATGCCTATGTGTTTAGACACCAAATTTTTAGCCTTTTGGCATGAAAATCCTGGTCTCAACAACAGCTTGTCCCTGCTCACCAGTGGATGCAGGGAAGGGACCATATCCCATGGACTGGGGAACTGGGCGGGGCCAGGGGTGCTGGCTTGACTGATAGACATATGTGCTTTTCATGAATGGGTAGCTTCTACGTACTGAAATATTGTTCTTCTATAGCGACACTGAGTGGTTTTTGTCCCTTAGGGTTTTATTCACAATGGAGGCTGCTGCTATTTTTATTTTTTTGTATTTGATAATTATTTTTTATAAAAATCTATGAAAAATAAATAATCTTCCCATCCTCCACCTCTTTTGCCTCCTTGCTTCACCCAAAGCGGGGCCAGGCTGGGGGAGGGAGGTGGTTCAGCTGCTCCCAGCATCCTCGCTCCCGCATGCCCTCCTCTACCCCAAACTACAGACTCTCCCAGCACTGTGCCAGCGCAGTGGGAGAGCTCTTTTGCGTTTTGGGCTGGGGACACACACACCTCCAATGCTGCCCCTATTCAAGGCTGCCACCCAGGCAGTTTTTGCTGTGCCACTAGCTGCAAGGACACTTTTGCACATGGTCTTCTGCTAGTTATGCCACAAACGGGTCCAATGCCAATCACTTTTTGTAAATAACCCACCTTAAAGGTAAGGAAAGAGTATCTGTGTGTGTTCACACCCCACCTCCCTGGGGACAGGGACCAGGGGATGGCTCACACTAGAGCCAGAGAGACATGCCATGTGGCACCCTGGCAAGAGAGTTAAAACCAAAGACAATAAAAAAAGTTGCTTAAAGATTGTGGGAATTTATTATTTTTTTTTAAGCAACCAGATAAGCTTTGTACATATGGACTGGGAAACACAAAAAAGCCCTGCGCAAGGTGGGTGGCCCTGCCACAGTGCCCCTGCAGCCAGCTCCAGCCTCTCCAGTGACAGTGGTGAGCCCAAGGCACCCAACTCCATTCACTTCAGTGCACCACCGGCACAAAGCATGACAGGGACCGGGGCAAACTTATTGCATAGTACCAGCTGAACTGCCTCCTGTGGACATTCCCAAATCCCACAAACATCCCATGTCACCAAGGCAGGGGACGTTCATAGGACCCCTCATGGGTTAGGACTTTGCTTTGAAGCTGCCCACAGCTGTCCTGCTCTGTCCACTTGGCTGAATCAGTGTTTCTGATGCTCTGGAAAATGGGATTTGCAGCATTCGATGAAGCAACCATCCCATGGAGCCTGCTGCAGCCACAGCCCTGTGTGTCCCCAGCCGTACCTGAGCATCCCCTCTGGACCAGAGGCACCTGGACCATCTGGGCCAGGTTTGGAAGTCCCACGCTAGAAGGCTATCATGCCAGTGACACAAGGAGGAAGAGCATACGGCTGGGGGTCAGGAGGCTTTCTTTGTGGCAATTCCTGACTCCCAGTGGCCCCTAGGAAGCTAGGTCTCCCACGATGCTGGGCACGGAGCCACCAAGCCACAATGGCCTGCAGTGGCCACAGCTGGTGACTACATCTGCAATGGGACCAGCCTGCCCTGTGGTCGCTTCCTCAGGCCCGCAGGGTTGTTTACTGGAAGGGAATACTGCTTTTTATAGACTTTGGGTAAAGGGAATTTTTCTTCTTCCCACTGCTACCTTTTCCACTGTTCAGGTGTTTTGGTGTCCATGTCACAGTTTTTTTTCCCTTTCCTTTTTTAAGACAGTTTCAACTGAACAAATAAAATGGCCCTGAAAAAAAGTCAGGTTGGCTTCCAAGAGCAAGCAAACACGAATGGCAGCTAACGAAATCCAGGCTGCGTTTTTTGATGGACCAGTTCTGGGGACATTTCAAGCCTCTCCCCACATCAGACAGGGACAAGATGGTCCCTCAAGTAGCCCCTTTGCTGTTTCACACCTCAGCACAGAGTTTGAAAAGACCAAAGCCATGCTAGGAGCTATTTCTCTTTCCTTCACCACGCACCTTGCTTGCAAGTGGTGAAGGTGAATTACGGCTGAGCAAGTAGAAAGATTAGAAAGGACTGAAAAACACAAGCACCTGAAGTGGGTTAGGGGCCAGGGGGCTGCTGGACCCCGGAGGGCAATGCCAAGGCTATGGAAAGCAATGAAATCCCAAATTTCCTCCTGCAGGGTTGACCCAAGCACATCAAGGGCCCCAGAGAGGAGTGATGGGCTGAGAAAATGGAAGGAAAAGCCCCTAACACGGGGTGCCCAGTGCTGCACTGGTGGCTAGGCAAGCAGGGAGCACCCGGGGACGTGGAGCTGCCCCTGCCAGCTCCAGGGCAGCTGGGTGCATTGCACAGCCTTCCCTCCTCACCGTGGCCGGGATGGCCTTCCCGTCACTAGCAATCAAAGCTGTATGTACACGGCCCTGATTGAAACAAGCTGAGGTGCTTTGGTTTTGTGTTGCTGCTGGAAGCAAGTGAGGCCCCGGCAAGCCCTTGGTCCTTCTGGCTGCCTGCACCAGAGCAGCTGGGGATGGCAGACACAGGGGCATGCAGGCAGGGC